ATGTCTGGAGTGCCTTGAATCAAGTATTTAGGGGGGCTGACTTTGCTTTGAGTTAAAGTAATCCCTAGTAATGCATCCAACACGCTGATTTCACGCAGCCGCCATATTGAAATGGCTCCGGTGGGAAGAAAACCGGAAGTGTCGCCTTGAATCATAGGAGAGCAGCAAATGCGATGGCGTATTGTTGAGTTTAATGTAGAAATTTGTTATTCTAAAAATGTACACACAATTCTTTTATACTTTAGACTATATACAATGAAATTTAATAATTTATAAATATTTTTTTATATATATATTTATTCAGAACATAAAAAGAAGCAGAAACGAACTATACATATCCTATATTGGATATTAATATCCAATAGTTTAAATCTCGGCATGCAGCTTCAGGTTGGTAGTCCAAGACATTGTTGTCTATTTCCGTGATTCTTCCCACCGGAGCCTCGCTTTCGATTTCAAAATGGCAGCTGCGGAAAATCAGCTTATAGACTGCGTAAAATCTGGCTCAGTTCCCTCCTACTTTCACTCGCTCTTACGAGTCTACATCCCTACCAGAAGCCTACGATCGAACAATGAGCGACGGCTCGTGGTACCATCACAAAGAGCTACAAAATCATTCTCCAGAACATTATCATTCACGGTTCCATGCTGGTGGAATGATCTGCCCATACTCATCCGGAATAAAGAATCCCTGACAGCATTCAAAAGACAACTGAAAACTTATCTCTTCCGTAAGCACTTAACATAAAAAAAATAAAAAATTCTTTAAATCCTCACTTGCCTGGTTTATGCTATCTGAGCAATGTTTGAACTTTGTATTTTGAGCACTTCTTGTGTTGTTATTGCCTCTTCATGATGATAACTTGTTTGGTTTAGTCATCAGATGTAAGTCGCTTTGGATTAAAGTGTTTACATTTAGTCTTTTAACTAAATGTAAATGTAATGTAAATATAGCATTATTGCATCCATGTTTTTTATATGCTTTATATTATGGCATTGTTTCCTGTCTTTTGTTTCCTTTTGCCATTTGTTTTATTGTTTCCTTTTGTGTTGTGTTAATTTATCTTATTGTGACTTAGGTCATGTTCTTGAGCATTTAACTCACCCTTTTTTAATTTAGTTTGAACTTATTCCTATACAGATGGACTACTGAAAATGCATCAATTTTACATTTGTATTAAAAAAAATTGTATAGCAAAAATAGTGTTTAAAGGTTTGAGGTTAGCAAAAATGACATTTTTGACTAAATTAAGTTATTTTAAACTTTCTATTCATCAAATAATCTGAAGAATGAACGATTTGTCAGGGTTTACACAAAATAAGTAAAGCAGAAAAAACATTTTCAAAATTGATAATAATGAGAAATGTTTTAATAAGCACCAATTCTGCATATTCAATTCATATGCAATGCATATTCAATTCATGTGACACTGAAGAATGGAGTAATGATGATGAAAATTCAGCTTTGCCATCACAGGAATAAATTACATTTTTAAATATATTAAAAAGGAAACCAGTTATTTAAAATTGTAATAATATTTCACAGTATTACTGTTTTTACTGTATTTTAACTGTATCAAATAAATACAGCCTTTGACCCCAAACTCTTGAATGGTAGTTTATAATCTTAAATATTTTATTTTCACATCCAGTAACCTGAAATAGTTCATATTAATTATACATCATAACATTTCTTTTTGAGCATTTTGAAAAATGTAAAACACTTCACGTCTTTACTCTGTTTATTTTCAGATCTAAATTAGATTTTGAATCCCAGGTTTTCAGTGTGGCCTCAAACTTTTGGGACACACTGTATGTTGTTGTTCCTTTTTTCTTGGAACTCTGTCCTGACAAACTCTTTCTTTTATATAACATTTTGCTCAGTAAATATACCCACCCTAGGAAAAACTTGGACATTAGTGATGATAGTTATGCAAGTCTTAAAGGAAACTTAATATTCAAACAATTATTTGTGAGAATTTGGCCTTTAAGTATTTATTTATTTATTTATTTTTATTGAGCCAAAACTTACAACATAATCCCAGCTAACAGAGCAATCATCACAGAAAGATGATGTATTTTGGCTTTTGGCATAAAAATCTAAATCAGCTGATCAGATGGAGAATTTGTTGGCCTTCATTTGGACGATTACTTCATTAATGGTTGATGTAGCCAATCTCTCTACTCATACTTTGTCAGAATGAGTTTATTTAGGTACTCAAGCACTTCTTGAATTTCATGGAATAGTATGCCGCTGCTCTGTAACATTTCGCTTGCAAAAGCAGTGTCTTTAATTGTGCATGCATGTAGTCTGCAGGAGGAAGTGACATTCTGTCCACCTGTGTGCTTGGGGACACTAAAAGGTAGACGTCATCTTAGGTGAAACAATGACTTATTGAACAATCTTTAATACATTATAGTCAAGTGGATAACGGGATTAAATGGCACTTTAAGAGCCTCCTCATTTTCCTAACCCTCATACTGCACCTGCCTGATCCTTAGATCAAAATCAACACAAAATGAAACCTCATTTTAAAACTTCTTGAACTCTGCTTTTTTTCTTCTTCGTTTTTATAGTCCCAAAATGCATTGTGATTTAAAAAAATATATAATTTTTAAATAAATTTTATGTAAAATAAAATCATTTCTTTTCATATAATATTGAATTTTATTTTACTGTGGCCCTATAGGTTTGATTAAACCATCAAAATAATATCAAAAATAATTATTTTAAATATGATGGAAGAAAACAGCTATAGGTTTTATTTTACAATGAAAAAAATCAAACAATGTCTACAACATAATCAGTTGCTATATTTCATTGGTTCTCTCTTGCATGTGTTCATATTTCTTATTAGAGCCTGGCCAAAAGTCAGGTAATATTCGAGCCAGGGCAAAAGTAATAATATTTAACATAAAAAGGTGAAGAGTCAATTTTCGTAGGCCAGGCACCACATTTGGTCACTACTCTATATAAAACTTGGACATTGATGACAATAGTTGAGCGTCTAAAAGGAAACTAAAGATTGAAACAATTATTTGTGGGAATTTGACCTTTACTTTTTGTACTAAGCCAAAACTTACAACATAATCCCAGCTAACACAGCAATCATCACAGAAAGATGATGTATTTTGGCTTTTGGCAAAAAATATTTCTATAACATAAAATGTAAAACCGTGATCTGATTTTTTTTTTTTTTTTTTTTTTTTTTTTGCCTACACTTGGAAGATCAGTGCCTTCATTAAAGGGGTGATGAACTGAGAAATCAAATTTTCAGAGTGAAGAACGGTGCTGTGCCATCTATATTGGATCTGACAGTCCAATTGTGCAACACACAGACTCTGGGTCGAACATGTATGGGCGAATCATTCCAGTTGCCATTTTACAACATTGGACGTTTTCAAAACAATTTCCCCCAAGTGCATCGACGGATGAGTAGAAACTCATTATAATATGCAAAACTGTTATCCACTCACAGTAGTGGGCTTTTACTTCCAAGTCTTCAGTGCGAGACGGCCATAAAAACCAAGCGTTTTTCAGCTAGGCTCAAAACTAGGGTACAAAATAGCCTATTTTATTCCTTTTGATCATAAGTTGACCTCAGACAACAATATAATAAAATTTAAAAAGCCAGTTCATGACCCCTTTAATGACTGATGTAGCCAATCTATCGACTTGTGCTTTGTCAGCATGAGTTTATTACTTTGCAAACTTCTTGGATTTCATGGGATAGTACACAGCAGCTACGTAACTTAACTACATGCAAAAGCAGTATATGTAACTATTAATATATTTTTTTCATTTTAGTTTTTTAAGGTATTAAATAATGTCATAAACAGAGAAGAAATAAAGCACTTTTCTTGAAACGGTCCCATAGCAATGTTCTAATATAAAAAAAAACAGTATTTATAGCATAGGCTAGTCGTCAGCAAAAATGTCAAAATTGACCCAAGGACAAAAGAAGGGTTGAGAATCAATTTAAAACCACTTGTATTGGCATGCAGAAGTGTATGTGAGATGTTTTCTGCACTGGCTGACTGGTTTCTGGAGGAGTTAAGTGGCGTCTGAGATACTGTGGAGCAGGCACAAAAGTGTTAAACACACACTGAGGAGCGAGTCCCAGCTGACCTCTCTCACACACTCCTGCTTTCCCTGTGGCTGTGGAGGTCCGTGCCAGGTCCCTGCTGAGTAACGACTCTAAACAGGGGCCATAACTCAGGTCAGATGCTTTGTCAGCATCAATTTATTTAGGATTTACTCATGTGACACATTCAAACACTCGTTCCTCGAATTTCTTGGAAATGCTTGGGCCTGCCAGCTACTTTTGAGCAAAAGCATGGCATGTCAAGTGGCCATGAATTTGGGACGATTATATTTGAACTGCGGGAAAATATGTTCCCAATAGATGTAAACTAAATGAAAATCATTTAATTTAGAATGTGTCCTCAGAGTTTGCTCATATACATCTTTTAGTCATTCTGTAAGATACATAAATGCTGTAAACATTCATAAAAATGAATATTTCTTTGGTTTACATCACAGCGACTCTATGTAGTTTTGTGTACTGAGCAGCCTGGACCCGGTTAGACTAATATAGAGAATTTCATCATGAGAGAGCAGACAAGATTAGAAGGACCAAAACAAGTCGTCCGATACACATTTTCTTGTCAATCTATGGCTCAGACTGTGCAAGCTTAAACAAACAAATAGATGAATGGAGGCCTGTGGGTTGAGTTCACCATACCGGACAAAAAGAGCTGTTTCTGTTGTGACTGTACCGTTCCCGTCTGACGAGGAGATTCTTTCCTTTTCTCGCCTTTTGTAACATGTCTTAGACATTCCAAAGTGCTACAAAGCCTCTACTTCCTAATTGTGGAATATTGTTTACAGAGGGTTCATTGAGAGTTGGATTTAGTGTGTGGGCACGGCCCAACAGGAGAAAGGATCTGTCAAAGCAGTTTGACAAGAATGATAACAAACACACTTCTTTTCACATATATACGTTGCTTAACTTTATTCATGTACTCTTTTTCGTTATGAAATTCACTATAATTACATATAGTACAATACTGGCTATTATTTTCTACAAAAAAAGATTGCATAAATAATTTAAATGATGAAATTGAAAAAAATAAATATGCTCATTCTTTGTAACAGTCTTTTGGTCAAAGAGAGAGAGTGGATCCATTCATCGAGGAGGATAACGCTCAATGAGACCACACAGGTACAGTATATACAAGTTGCTATTCATGGCAAGTCTGCTTACATTATAAAAATCCCTTCCAGTTGCTATTTTAAATACACAATTGAAAAATAAGCAAATATTATCTGCACTGAACAAAAAAAAAAAAAGAGCTGGGGAAGTCATGAAATGGCATTGGCTTAATCTCTTTATCCTGTGTAAAATCAACATCCAGCCCACAATCTCAGAGTTTGGTTCACTTATTTGTCTCTGCTTTTTCCGGTCAGATGACAGAAAGGATGACACCATTGGTGAAGACTTCAGGAATGGATGTAGGTAACCTGCTAGCGATTGCAGATAGCTGGATATCCTCAAATGGTTTCCATTGAAGGAGGGTGCAGAAAGGTTTTTTGCCCGCGAGGAATTTTTGCAGATTCTTGCACACATGTGGGCCTCTTTTTCGGGTTTCTAACAAACAGGAACTGACCATGTCTAGAGGAAATGGCTTTTTATGACTCAAATCCTAACACAGGAATGGAACTATTTGGTAATTAGGACAAGTCACAGGAATATCGTTTGCGGTTCTTGACCTCCGGGGACTTGGACCGTGGAGGGCTGACACAACTTTTCGAACTCTCCATAACGTGGCTCTTACTGCCAGTTCCGATCAGTTTCTTGTTGAAATGTGAAGTTGCAGAAACTCACATGGTGCCTGGCTCGGTTCCCCAGCCCGTCAAGAGCACTCATGGGCTGGTAAAATTGACCAAGGTTAAGAAGTCTGGGCTTCAACGATCTGTCAGCAGCGGAATGTCTTTTGGGCCCGACACGGCTGGACGGTCAAATCAAACGCTGCTCCAAGTCCCAAAAGAGGAGGACAAATCTGGTGCACAAACATTCACATGAGCGCTTGGTGGATTGGTTGAGTGCTCAGTGTGTTTGCCCGTATGTTAGCTTACCCTTTCAATGAACTTCAAACTTGAAATGAACTGCTTGGGTAAGAATATGTGGAGTTATTCCTCATGAACTCTAATATCATCATCACATTCCCTGAACTAATCTCACATAATTGTATACGTCTTTTCACTCAAGCATCCATTAGTCCACTGGCATTCTGTGATCAAACTGGGACTATTTAGGCTCAAGAGCACATTCAAACAGTGAGACATCTGAAATACGTTGGAAACTTCTTGGCATGCCAATAAGTTTGTTAAATGCTAATGTGTGTATTCCTTTCCTTGGATTGCAGTTTCTGAAATATGTGTGCGTATATGTAAAGGTGTATTTGTATGTATGCAAGAGAGAGTTTCTGTATCAGTTCAACTTTCCCCCTCAGTACGAATTGCTGTTGACCGAGGGCGCTTTGCTACGGTGCTTCTTATTGCGCCGCGGCTTCTTAGAGGGCAACTCCTTGACATCCGATTGGTTGTGATGGCGAGTGTAGCGTTTGCACTTGCAAGACGTGACCACTCGGATTTTGTATGTCCTGTTTGGTCCGTTCGGACACTGGAGTTGTATCCGCTGGGTGCGGGAGTGAGCTGGGATGCAGCGGTAATCGGAGGAGCTGCTTCTCCACCATTTTCCCCTTAGAATTGAGTTTGGCATGAGATGAGCTGGAAGGCATTGACCAGAACATACCAGTTCCTTCACAGGTTTGACACTACGGCAAGATCCATCAGTAACGTAGCGGGTAGAACGCAGCTCCCGGCAGCTTAGTTCAGAGGCTCCTGGAAAAGAGAGCAGATTAGTTGAATGTTTACAAAATGGTTTAAGGATGCATCTTAAATAAAACACAGCTACCAATGCTGGGATTTATTATAGCCTGTGTAACACACGGGGTTTTGGATTGGTCACAGCTACGATAAACAAAACTGATTTTATTTTTCATGTTTTGTTATATACACAGGCATTAAGCAAATGTCCTAAAGTTGACTTTGTTGTGTTTTCCAAGAAAAAAATGGACCAACTCTAAAGGAAATGCACGATCATAGTTTTTATATCGGCTCAATATGTTTTTGTTTTTGTATTTAATCTGGATTGGATGTTGTCACTCATTTTTTGAGGCTGGAATTGATGAGAAACCCAATCAATTGGAAACCCACAGACACTAAACAACATACATTTACCAGATAGTTCTGGTAAGTACAGATAGGACCGAATCGAGAGACTTCTGTCTGGGTGAGAGCTAACATTTTTGCAGTAATCTTTGAATTTAATGTAATCTCCTCAAACAACATCGACAATGTCTTCATTTATTTTTCGCAGTTTATGTGTCAGTTAAAAAGATGAAACTGAGAGTGAAAAGATCTGTTTCCTTCTTCAGCTCCCCTCCTGGAGAAGAACAAAGGATTTATGTGTGTGATGAGTTCAGGTTCTGCCTCCCCTGATTCCCAGAAAATCTGATCTGATGTTTTATGAGGAGCTGGAGGAGAGCCAGAGGAAGATGAACATATCTCAACATGACCCCACACTGACCACCAGAGAAAATACACACATCACCTCTTCAAGATCAGCACACGAGAGTGTGATTTCTTTCTCCACCACATCCCACCCCCTGACTGGCGAGTGTAACATACATGCTTGGCTTGAAAACTGTTTCCTTATGCTGAAATACAACATCATTTTAGGACTGTTCACTGACATAACTAGTTATTTGGAGTTATCTTGCATCTTCAGTTCACTTAACCAATTGCTCAATCCTTGATTATTTTTATAACCTATTATTGTGACAATACTCTGTGTAATCTGGAGGATTGCTTATTATTATTTTTGGAAGTAATCTGTGTATTTATTTAGCAATAAATTTAAACATTCCAATTACTCAAACACAAGGCTTTACTTTAGTCCAAAGTCTTGATTTGTGTTCTGGAACCAAGCTCTAAGGGTGTTTTCACAAGAGTCCTCTTTAAAAGAACCAAACTAAGACCCCTGAAAAGGGCCAATTGTTAAAACACCCATCTTTGTTTTACATTTTGTCTGCTAATTCGTCCATCCACATACACAAACACACATTGTACATTGTTAGAACTACTGTTGGTTTGAATTCACAGTAGTTTTACTTTTCACAGGTGGGAGTCATTCTCATGGCAATGCCCTGAAGAAATGACCCCTTGGAAAAACTTCTCACATTTTCAACTACCCTGAAACCATACTGTTGCAATTAGATGGTTATGGAAAGGCAGAGCTTGTCTAATTATTTAAAATTGGGGATACAGCAACAAAAAAAGGGTTACTGAAGTTAGTGTATCACTTGGGCCGGTGAAAAGGTGGAGCGGCATCCGCGGCATGCATTCTTTCTGAATTTGAGCTTTTATTTAAAAGCGGCAGATCTATTTAGAGCCAGGATATCCAGTTTTGTGGAAGTTTATAATGGTCCTATGTGTAGCCCATATACACTATTAAATACAGGGTGATTTTTTAAAGTCATTTAACTAATTACTGGAGCAAATATCAAGATAGGCTTGTTTATTTAGTCAACTTTTCAGTTGTGGATGTCTAATCCGTTTTAGATAACAAAACAGTTTAGGTCTCAAGTTGTAGCTAGTGAAAATTATCTAATTATTATATTTGAGATTAAATTATGAATTTATTTAACTTGCAAACACGCAAACCCTCGATAACAACAGCATATTCCTGTTAAAATGTTCAAATATATTTTACAATCTGTATTTATCTACATAAATATCTAATCACTAATGTACTTTAGTGCTTTCTTAATCAAATAGCTTCAAATTCATTAAGTCAAAATAACTAAATTGATATCAGCATTGGGTTACCAGGGGGTTTATTAACTTTAAAGAACATTTTTGAATAAATTTCTTTTTGATTACAAAAGAGCTCAAAATCCATGTTAAGAATTGGAACATCTATACAGTATTATGTTATTTGAATAGAGCTCTATACTTTAAATTAAAGATCTGTTTCTTGTTACTTACCATAAATGCGTGTGTTGGCTGATGACCTCCTTCCTCCGTTCTTAGCCCGGTTCATTGTGTTATTGTCAGAAAGTTGTATCTGCTCCTCGGGTTTATTCGTGTCCTCCGTGTATTCTGGTATAATTTCTGTAGCATCATTTTTTAAAGCCCTCCATCCGTGCGCCGCTGTGAAACATCCCTGTAGCAGCACCAGCAGCAACAGCCGCGCGCCGCAGTGCACGAGCGCTAGAGACACCTGCATACTGAAATAACGACTCGTTCAGCGGGCAAACTCTGACCGGTTTTCTTCTCTTCGTGAGAGGCTTTCCTTTTTAAAGTAGTACCACAGGTTTCGGGTGGGGGGAAAACAGATAATTTAGCGCTTACACGAAGTGGGAGGGATTTAGGCAAAGTAGCTCATTCAGAAACTGATAGGGAGGAAGGGGCACCCGCAGAAGTGTAAGGTCAACATGGAGAGAGGAAAGCCATCTTTTTTTTCTTATTTTTTTTTTTATTTATTTTATTTTATTTTTTACCAAAAATGAGACAGTGTGTGATTACTGCTCTATTAGGCCTACATCATGTATCGTTGCAACCCGCTATCACGACAAGACGTGAAATAATCACGTTGGTCCACTTTGGAAAACGTGAACCCCCTCAAACACGTTTGCGTTGCTTACACGTTTGGGTTATTGAATGTTGTTTTGATTGATGTTATTGTATGTGATATATTTAGGATGGACATATGATTGGAAAAGTGTATATTTTGTAAAAGGCATTTTATTGTTCCCTATTTGGTTTGAAAATTGATATTGTTCAATAAAAAAATGCATGTTACAACAATTTAATTGTATAACCCCAGACAGCAAACTGACATTGAATCAACGTGGAAACGACGTCTCTCATGACATTGAAACAACGTTGATTTGCTCATCGAATTAACGTTGAACCAACGTCAGACGCGGCATTCTTCAAAGCTAAATGAAATCGAAAATTGGTTTGCTTTCATAACGTTGAAACAACGCGTTGATTTCAAGTTGATTTTCCGTTAGTTTTGAAAGAATGACGCGTCTGACGTTGGTTCAACATTAATTCGATGAGCAAAACAATGTCAGATCAACGTTGTTTCGATGTCATATTTCCACGTTGATTCAATGTCAGTTTGCTATCTGGGACAGCTATTGCCAACACAGCAACATTTTTCTTTTCGGAATTAAAAGTATAACATTAGCCTACAAATGCAGCGAACACATAATGTCTCCTAATCTGTAAGCAGTAAGCACTAAGGTGCTAACCTAATGGCACTGAAGATCATACAGGAGTTTCTTCCCATTGCTAAGCAACGGAACTAGGTCGAGTATTTAAAAAGGTTATGGTTAACACATTTAACGTGGTTTAACGTCGATGTAATACATTGTTTTAGCGTACCTTTTGCTTAAACGAGGAGCTGGGGCCCCTGGACGCCGGAAAAATAGACGTTTGTCATTAAAAACGTGACATTTAGACGTTTTTTCGGCGTGGATCAAGGGCAAGGCAAATGAATCCTTTCACCTTGAAAATGATGTTTTTTTGCATTTTAAATAATAGAACATTTCTCAGTGATCGTCAATAAAACAAAATTCTGTCGTTATGGCAGAGGCGATTGCGTGTAGAATAGGTCAACCACCGGGTATCTTACGCAAACGTGTAAGTTTCACGTTTGAGGGGTTAAACCATAGATACCCAGATAGCAAACTGACATTGAATCAACGTGGAAATATGACATCGAAACAACGTTGATCTGACATTGTTTTGCTCATCGAATTAACGTTGAACCAACGTCAGATGCGTCATTCTTTCAAAACTAACGGAAAATCAACGCGTTGTTTCAACGTTATGAAAGCAAACCAATTTTCGATTTCATTTAGCTTTGAAGAATGCCGCTTCTGACGTTGGTTCAACGTTAATTCGATGAGCAAATCAACGTTGTTTCAATGTCATGAGAGACGTCGTTTCCACGTTGATTCAATGTCAGTTTGCTGTCTGGGTATCTGGGTTAAACGGTTAACCATCTACACGTTTTCCAAAGTGGGCCAACGTGATTATTATTTCACGTCTTGTCGTGATACCGGGTTGATCAATAGCTGGGTTTTTTTTTTTTTTCTTCACTTCGAAAGTTCACAAAAAATGTAGGCTGCTACAGTCATAATTTGGGCCTTTTTCTTTCTTTAAAATGTAGGCCTATTTTCTTTGTGCTATTACATTATAGCCTTCAATTATAGTTTCATTATTATTTTGTTGTTGTTTTGTCTGCAAACTATGGCCTGAACAAGTTTAGCTATATAGCCTATACTTTTTTGGAATTATCTGCTAAATTAGCCTATCTTTCAGCAGACACAGTCAGTTAATATTTCTCTGACGCAACACAAATTATAACATACATGTTGTGATATTTAAACAGAATAGGCTACTAAAGTTTTTTGTGATATATTTATGATAACAAATTGGGGCTAGAGAAGCAATAAAATAGGCTAGCTACCGATCACAATGGAAAACATGTCTTGTGTTTGTTAGCCTATTTGGAGACCTGTGAATTTTATTTGCTATGATGACTAAGTTTAATCATAACTGAAACTTTTGAAAGTCTTATATAGGCTATCAGCAAGGACAACTTTTACTACCCCAATCCTTCTTTTCATTTGACTCTATTTTTGTGTGAATATTTTTGGGACATGTTATCAGTCTGCCAGTATAAATTAAAGACTACTATGAATAAGCAGTGGGACACGCACAAGATACAGATGCTTTATGTCACATAACTGTCATGTCAGCATTAAATGCATCGCTTTGTACAAACACTGCCCTCTTGAGGGAGCCCAAACAAGCAAAAACCTTGAAAGGATATTATTTCTCTTTCATTGCATAAAACGTTCTGCTTCTCCTGTCTGTTGCATTATTTCTGCATGAAATTCTAAGCAATTGTCAGTGTGCATGAGACTGGTTGAGCAATAACTTCTAATGCTACACGGATACATTGTGTCCGGCCAGTCTTTTGAGCTTAGAAACCACTTTGGCAGGATAGATGGAATTCATCTGCAATCCATTGTGACTCTTCTTTTTGTCCTGTCATCACGAAGAAAAAGAAAGATCACAGTGTCCACCACAGGCCCAGTCTGATTGTAGCCTATACTCTTTCCCTGTCATTCACTAGCTGTTTTTATACCTCTTTGGGTTTGTGCACAGAACACACAGTCTCCAGGCATGCTTTATCAAGATAGCAGCTTGAGCATAAATAACACTTAGATGTGTTCCAGATTTACAAGGGCTGCCAGCAAAAGATATTTGTATAAAGAAGGAAAAAAAAGGGCAACACTATGTCAAAGCCACATAAACAAAGCATTTTACTCATCTGGACTGACAGGGCTAGACTCTCAATGCATGAAAGGCAAACATACTAACTTGCAGCTGAGCATTAAAAGTTTTCAGAAAATGGAACAGGGTCAAAGTTGAGCAGAAACGTTAATCTTGCGAAAACAGAATGTGCTCTCGGGGCCTGCTAATACGTTTTTATCACCAGATTCATGGTTAAATCTTGTAGGCTATAATAATAATGAATATCATTATTATTATTTATTTTTAAGTTAACAACATAAATATTGCTTCATATTTTGAATCTTATTTAAACATAATGGTGGCTCAAGTGTCACTTACATTTATTTACAAGATCTTACATGGGTCATAATAAAGTGTGAAAATTTTCTTTTTTATATGCTAATCAGCACAATTTTTCAAACAAACTAGAGTCAGCAAAAGATATTTTTGCCAGGGTCGATATTGTCCCCACCACTTTTGAAACATCTCCCAGCACGGATGTAACTTAATAAAATACTTAATAAACAAATAAATAAAACATAACTAGTAGAGCATTCATTTAGTTTGTTTGTTAAATAAGAGGCGATCTATCACACTGAAATACTGTATGTTGTTTTTGAAATCAAGTGATCAAAGTGCTTGTTAACTCTGCAATGTGTGGCGAGATACAGCGTTTTCTTGTGGCTCGCGGATGTTGCAGAGACTCTCTAATCGTTCCGGTGAAATCACAAAGTAAAATGCACACAAATGTGTCCCTGCTTGATATACAACAACTGATAAACATAATCTGTTTTAATGAGGAAAAAGGAAAAATGAACTACGAGTGCAAAAGTTCTGCCACTGTGTTACTGTCAGATCCATGTATTTGTTCACGTGAAAATTCTCGACACCAACACATATTAGATCTCATTAAACGACAAATTAAACACAATATACCATTTAAATCGATTGCTGGACATATGTATGTTATTGTACATGGGTATATCTGATTTATGATTTATGATCCTAACAACAACACACTTGTCCCACCCACTTTTTGTAGCAAAAGTTACGCCACTGAGTTATAACATTTCACAAAGCCTGATAAGAGGATATATATTAGTGTATAAATATAATATGTGGTAAATGTAGTAGTTTGCACAAAATGTTAGTGATTTTTGTGCAATCGTATAGATTACACCATTTCCAGCTGTCCTGTGAACTGATGTCTCATTTATAAATACAGCCCTGACAAATATTATTATAAAAGAAGCATTTGTGCAATGTTACAAAAGAAAAACATTTATGGATCATATTTTATCTGTACAAGTACCGCTCCCCAGCAGCTTATGAACCTAGACAGTAATACCTCACTTCTCAATCTGCCAAGTCATTTCCATTTGTCATTAGTACCACATTTTTCATGCTGGATATAGTCTGAAAATTTCACATAAATAAAAGCACATTTGGTGTTTAAATAAGCCATGACTAGCTGAATCATACTAAAAGCACTTCCAAGACTAAATCATGTTTTAAAATACTTCATTTGAGTTTAAAAGCAGCGGAAACCTCAGCTGTGGTTTTACTGAGAGTCTCGGCAAACCTTGCTGACCGCTGGGTCCGTGTGTTAACCACTCTATGTACAACAGGGCTGCCACAAGTGGGATTGTAAACAAGGATCACCTCCACCGATTCTTTCAAGATATGCACACAGACTGGTAGTGTTGCAGCTATGCACGGTGAGAAAAAGAACAAAATGCCAAGCCATTAAACTCATTCTGACGAGGTTATGAACAAATAGGTTTGTGGGAGAAATATATCTGCAGTGATTGTTGCGAGAGAATATTATTGAGAAATGTAGTGCGTCATTGTTCTCTGTTCCCTTTGTTACAACCCAGATTGCTAGTTTTCCAAAATTATTTATTTATCAAATCAGGTCCAAGGTTACTGGAAGTGAGAACAATGAACAGTGTCAGAACAACGTCATTTCAATGTCTTGAAATGATCAAGCAAGTTGGCAT